GAACAATAATCTATGCATAAAGCGTTACAGTTAAGACTTATGACAGAATGAAAAATTAAATCGTTACTAACATTGTGCCAAGTGCTGCTTTTCTGAACTTCCCTCAGAAAAGTTTCGCAGTCGAAATTGTTTATATTCTTTAAAATTGTTTGACAGTCTACCGAAATTTTCGATCTTTTCCAAAAGTGTTGTAAGCATATTGTACATTAATTAAAAAGCTCTGTAAAACCAAGTGCATATTTTCGGTACATATACTAACAATAAAGTAAACATTACCAGCCTACCTCACTTTTCATAAAGTATAGTGTTTTCTAACTCGATCAGCCAGAAGCTTTGGTTTTGTGAATTGTTATTAAACATGTAATATTCAAGTGCTACATGTGCAAACAATCCCTTGTGAATTTATTAATTAAATTGTCAATAATATTTAATTAAAAATAATAAATCAAAACCTCAAGCACTAAAACTCTAGAAAATTATCTTTAATTATGATTTGCCCTTGTCCATCGTATTCCAAAACCTGCTTTTGTATTTATCTGTTTTGTTATTAAAATACTTCACGATTTATAAAAAGAAAGAATTTTAATCTTAAATTTTCTCACTGCACCTTGTGTTTGAAACCGCGTCAGACGTTTTATTTAAATACAAATATCCTATTGTTCATTATAATTTTAATCATGTTTACACATTCAGCTTCTTTGTTACTAAAATATACAGACATAACGAAGGGCTTTAATTTTAATCTCTTTCTCGGTTGTTCAGAAAAGAAAACTTCGCCAGTGCAAATATGGTTAGGTTAAAGCGAATAAAATCGCTTAATGCTGATTAAATTAAAGTAATGGATTTAATCACCAATTATGACAATGCTATAAAAATAGCTGAGAACATTTGCTATTCTTCTAAATTTATTCTGACAAAACTATGAAAAATAAATTTTATGCAACATCGATAGATTTACGCAGCAATTCCTTTAAAAAAGTAAGATCAGAAATGCATTTTTTTGTAATTTAAAAATTTAGGGAAATGACATTAAGGAAAAAAAAAAAAAAAAAAAAAAAAAAACGTCATACGTGTTTACCTCTTCAATATTCATTATTTCAAGGGACTTAATTATTTAAATTAATCTTTAAAGTTGTACACTGATCTTTTACGTACAGAAATATTTTGAAGCTTTAATTAATCGCCGACAATAATTTACTTCAGCATAAAATTAGGCAACGCAACAACATTGTGTTCGGCGTAAATTTTAGTCAAAGCTATGGATTTCGAGATCAAACAGGTACAGGTCCCTCTTCATCAATAAAGAAAACAGCTGACCACGTGGCGCAAGTAAGCAAACGACCCAGGTAGCAAAAACCAGTTGCGCCATTATGCTTTTCGCTTCGTCATGCGACGTGGTTGCTGGATTATCTCATTTTTGGAAGTTGATTTCTTTGCTCCTGATGAAGAGGGATCTGTAACTTTTCCCCTCGAAATCGATAGCATCTTAAACATATGCCAAAAACAAGGTTGTTGCTTTGCCTAATATTTTTACTTTTGTCTTATTTCTAGTTTTACTTAAAAATAATATTTAATTCTTTTTCAATAATCTCATGCCTAAACGTAATTCAATATATCTCAGGTAGCATTACGACTCAGTTACAGTCATAAATTAGTCTCCCACTTTAATTTATTTTCAAAGCTTAACCACTCTCAAGAAAACTTGAAAATAATTAATATTACAAAATATCGATAAGAAATATAACTTAAAGTCATTAATTTCAGATACCGAATTTTAGCTTGCTCAGATTTTGATGTTTATCGCTAAGGAGGAGGTAAATCATCCTTTCACGGGAAGATAATAAATAAATAAACAGATGTATGTTATAAAATATTTATATTAAAATAAAGAGGGGTTTATTTTCTGCAAGTTTGTTACAGTGAGTATAATTTATTTCAAATATGCATAGAAGTGTGCACTGATTTATGTAAACTGATAATCATTGGTAGAAAAAGTGTGAAGCACTTTAAATAAATAACTTCACAAAGACCTTGGATGATCTAAAAATCTTCTACTTATAAGTCGAATACAGAATAAGTATTAAGGTATAACTAATATAAACACGAAACTAATGTCATTCCCTCACTGCTAAAATCTCTGATAAAATACCTTCTTTGCATCTGTTTGTTACTGAAGAAGAGGGCGGATATTTGACGTATAGGAATAATTATTATAATGATTCCAAATTATACATCTTTTTCACGTACCATAAAATCGCCTAGAATAAATTGAATAGCAAATGTTTTTCGACATTCTTAAGGGAACTGATGGAAAATTAGGAATTATTTTATGAATCAAATAGCAGATCCTTTTATCTTATATCGAAAATTAATTGATGAAGTTGATGGGCGGAATCTTTGAATTAGAAATGTAACAGCCGAATTTAAATCTGCCCCCTTCCATATTTCAAAAGCAGTACCTTAAGATGTTTGAGCAAAAGCACTCGGTATTCACATATGGATTTAATTTTGCTCTGGGACTTTAAAACTGATAGTAAAATACATTTCAAAATGTTATGTTCTTGCATTCAGTATCAGCTTAAAAGCTTTTCTTCTATTCTTTTTTAGATTCATTCCACGGAAAACAGGTGCTTTTGACAGTCTAAATAACATATGTTCCAAACGTTTCGGATTGAAGAAGTTCTGAAAACTCAGCTATTAGTATTTATATATAAATCAAGAAAAAGGCTAGAGGGTGTAGTAATATTAAGCAAGGAAAACTGTAGAACATATTTACGTATTTGGCGCGTAGGGAAAAGCGAAAAATGTCCCTTTGATAAGTCATATCAAAACATGCATTTTATCAATTCTAATAAATATCCACATTTTACAGTTTTATGCTGATTAATCAAAATGAACTACAGTTTGTGAGAGTGACATTTTGAAAGTGCTCCAACTATTTGCAAGAAGCGCTAGCCACAACTGAAGACGACAGTCCTTCATACTGACGTAAGTAAGGTAAGTGGAAGAACTGGCCCGTTGGGATGTAGTGTCCATGGTGTTAGGGAAGACCATCTACTGCATAGGCAAGGAAGATAGCTGGTGGGGTGTTGCCATGGTGATTTGGCCGTGACGTCATGCTGGAAACATACCGTTGACCAACTCCCTTTTAGGAGAACAACGATTTTGGAGCATCACTATGCACGGCAGCATATAATCCAGGGCCCGAAATCAAATTGTTCACGGATATCCGTAGATAATTTAGATTCTTTCAGGGTTCTCCGAAGAAACAGCGCAAAGAAAACCCATTCTTCGCACGAAATAATCAATTCATGTATGAGGTTGATAGTTTCCATTTAAAACAGGAGTGGATATTAAAACTGCTTATAAAGAAATTTGTGATTATGATTTTTATTGATTTTAAGAGCAGTTCAAATTTTGGAGAAAAGGATAATCACAAATGCCAGAAAGTTAAGAAAAAGTTCACAGCATCTTGTAGATAATAAAATTATTTATATTACCAAATTAATAGTCCAGATTAGTCGTAGATTAGGATGGACGGTGAGAATAAGATTAGAGTTAAGTTTAAAAAAGCAAAAAAAAAAAAAAAAAAAAAAAAAAAGGTATAGGAGTCAGAAATAATTTAATGCGATTAGGTCTTTAAGGACTCAGTAAGGAAATTGTTTAGTAAAGTTCAAATTTTTCTTTCTTTTCTTTTCCCTCGTCATAAATTTGTAATTATAAATTTACACGTAACCAAAATAAATTTCAAATTATGAAGTATTTTACGCTAGTAAATTATAAGTCCCCTACACTCACACACTGCAGCATGGCAACTGATGACTATAAAAATGAGTTTTAAGTTTGCTTACACAAAGGCAAAAATAAACACTGACTATTTCTCAACTAGAACACATCTCTTCAGGCTGCAATAACCGAACGTTAACACGAGAGCGAGTGCTGTGTAGAATGGCCACACATTATGCCCGCTAAATTTAATAAAGGTTTACCAGCACTGGGACCGGACGAGATAACGCACTCAGATAGGAAAGGTGGCTGTCCCTTCTTGTCGCAATTGGCGGGGACTGTCTTTTTTCCCTTTCTATTTGTTCTTACCCTGACTAACACGGTTACTTGCTGGATATCGATTTAAAGCGATATCGCATCGATTTACACCAGCACTGGTCTAAATACGGCTATTTGCAAAGAGGAGGAGTTTGGGGGTTGTGTATAAAGCTCATTTGCAACTATATGCATTAGATTTTCTTTTTATAAAATCAATTGATTTTATTTTAGTATAAACATGCCTTGAAATTGCACTGTATATGAACATGAGAATTACATAAATTTTACATTTTTCTCGACAAGCTCATGAAATTTTACATCATTTATAATTTATTCTTTTAAACTGATTGCTCAAAATATTATGATTCCAGTATACAGTTCTAAATTGAAATTTATTAGCTACTTAGCGATACAATTCTATAACAGATTTCAATGTTCTGTTTAATTTTTAACTGACAGTACATTATTCCATGCAATGTTTGCTTACGTAGAAAAATTAACATTTATATATTTTATTACCGTATATTACATGAATTTCGATTTAATTGCTTTTAGATTAACAAAAACGTAAACGAGAGCAAAATAAAAGAATCGATTTTGGAGATTACAAACCGTATTACAAAAATGAGTTACCATGCAAAACGCATAAAAATCAGTTAAAGCGTTAGCTTACCATGAGCGAAATATTTCGTTATTATTAAAAAAAAAAAACCTTCTATATTGTTATAAATATTCCATATTTTATACGCTCTTATTCATTGCCAGATCATTTGCACTTCCGATGATATTTATCTAAAATACACCACTTGATGTTAACTGAGACTGAAAGTGCTTTGGCTGCACTGAAATAACTGTATTCGACGTTACTTAGTTTCTGTTTCATTAATATGAGCACAAGAAATGAACATATAAATAAAAAATATGCATATTTATAGAGACAGGAAGATGGAACTTACCTGAGGGCACATTTTACACTGGTACTTCCTGCCGGTGCCATTAGTGGCCACCCCTGATGGCGCTCCAGGACCCTTGGTAGCGGCGCTAATGGGTTGAGGCACCACTAGCATGGAGCCGCTGGAGCTAGGGGTGGACACAGGTGGACTCCCACTACTAGTACTGTTAGCCCTGTTTCCGTGGCTACCGTACAGGCTGTGCATCTGCGAGGAGTCCATGCCTCCACCGCCTCGACCTTCCTCCAGGCTGCCGCCAGGGCCTACAAATAGAAACATTGCACATTAACTCGTGTAGAAAAAAAGATTTTAAATTTAAGTTTAAATTTAGGTGCAGATGCTTAGACAATAAATGTGCTGAAAAAAGTGCACATTTTAAAATTTATTTCCTGTAACCTTACTAATAAATTGAACAATACTATTGTTTGAAAATGGGCATTGTCTGAACATGATTTGATTATACTAATATTCTTAATCAACAATTAAGTAATGAATGTGAAAACTAACTGAAACAGCTGTAAAAAATATAAACTCTTACATACGCAATTAACTCTCCCAATAAAAGTAATTTAAGCTGCTTTTGTTTCAAATATTAATCCCGCATTAAAAAATAAATAAAGAAAAAAATTCTGTGGTTAACAAAACAAATACCCATCAAAAATAAAATCTAAAAGCTTTCAGATTTAACATTACGCCGAAAGAGGCGTTTTTTTAACGTTTTGCGTGCTACCTTTATTTATTAAATATCATGTTCTTCGCACTTAAACCATAAAATTCAGTTCAACAGCGATATCGTATGAGCATATCTTTATAATTTCTGATACACAGTCTCGCGCGCTGGAGATATTTTTTCTCCCGTACAATTGCTCGCTTTGAAATCGTTGAGTTTGTTAATCAAAATTTCGTTAAAGTGCTTACAAAATATGAAATCGATAATAATAAAACAAATTAAAATTTAAAATTAGGCCTTCCAAGATGCCCAATATTCAGGGTGGAAGGATTACGTTAATTCAAAATTTTATGGCTCTAGGTACCGCTGTTTCATCACAATGAGAGAAACATGCATACATTTATGCAGATTCTTCATTACTTAATTTCTTTAAACATAATACAGGGCTCTAATATTTAGTGGCCACAATTTGAAAAGTGAATCGACATTTATAGTGAACCAACGCAAAATGCCAAAACGAAATTAATAGCCCTTTTGGCTAAAAAAAAATCACAGGTTTTGCAGGAAAACAGTGTAACTGTTTTTACTGCAGAGACTTGGAAGTTGCAATGAAACATTCTATCAAATAAGAAACTTGTGGCAAAACATGGTTTTGGAAATTACAGGATAAATTTATTATAATGGTGATGAAATCATAAAAGTACATATAATTTAGCTGTATTTTAATGACGAGCGAAAAGAGCTGCTGCTTTATCTTCCATATTAAAGTTCCTCCAACCTTCTGTTTAAGAGTTTTGGCGTATGTACGCGAAACAGTTCCCTAAAAAGTCATCAACGAAAGGTACTACAAAATTTAACCATAATTAATATTTTATACTCATCATTTCTACGATTTTAGAAGCGTCATTTCTCAAACATGATCAGTAAATCCCTGTGTTTCGGTACATAGGAAAATAATAGCTTAAGACTTAACATTTATGTAATAACATTTTGGGGGTAACCCGCAACTTCAAGTAGAAAAAAGTTAAATATATGATATGAAATGCTGAAGAATAAATAAAACTTTATGTTCATCTATTTGAGGTACACTGAATTCCACCTTAAGTACTATATACAAAAAGAAAATGACCAATATTAGATTTCAGTCAGTACATTTGTCTTAAATGTGATCGCCAAGTATCCAAAACATAAGCCAAACTAATTTCCATGGCGCCGACAATCAAGTAAAGAAAATAGCACATTTTAAAGTTTACTGAGCAGAATAAATAGCATCTCGGGAAAAAGAAAACTTATTTTATTTATCACGCGTTTACACGCTATTAAAGACCGGCATGTACGCTTCGTAGAATTTTAGTGGAGATCCAGTAATATTCCCCTCCCAGGAACAGAAAATCTTCACTTTATTTTTTCTCTATCCCAGCCATGCAAAAAAGCCCAACCACAGAGATTTCCGTTCTATTCACTTTTCCCCGTCATAGTGGCAATTGAATCAAGCTCCCTTGCTACACAGAAACTGAATAAAATAAATAAAAGTAAGGAAGAGTGTGGGGGAGGGAATAAGAAAAAAATTAAGAGAAAAAATCCCCCTCTATTAAATTTACGCAATAGGATAACAAACCTTACTCCCGGGGTCGTTTAAATTTGAAGAAGCGATGCTTTTCACGTTCATGCTTCATTGAGCGCCGGATGAAGAATTTCTTACCTCCCACCACACCACTACCACTCCGCACTGCATTTTAAACTTGTCAATATTTATTTCAGTCTAAATCGATTCCCTTTACGAACAAGGCCTAAGGATGTTTATTAAGTTCTTACATGGGAGATCAAAGCCCTGTTTACCAAAACGACAACTCAAATTCTCCTTGCAGCGAATAACTCAGAACATGCAAGATTTATCCCAAGCAAAGCTCTCATTTAAATACGTTTTAATATTGATAATGGAATAGGAAAAGGTTACGTGTAAAGCAAACCCTACGTACTATACTCAAAGCCGAAACAATTTCGTTTATTATTTGGTTTAAATTTCATTACAGGCGTTTAAAAATACACAAGGCAGATTAAAGTCGTACAGTAGATATGTATAATACCTCTAAAGCATATTATACACTAATAACTCAAACGTTTGAGGAAGAAAATTAAAACGTAAATAAAAAACGTTCTTTTTGCCACATACAACTTTTGTTTAAATAACTAACCTTTATGAAATCGTCCAAGCTAAGTTAAGGCGAATAATTAACTATATTGTCTTGCTATATGTAATAGAATAAATGAGTAATTTCTCCTTTTTGCCTTTGTACTTTAATTATTAAAATTTCTTTTGACTAAACTTTCCTTATTTAGAGGTTGCTCATCTTGTATTTATTAATTCATGAAACTTCATATTTTAAGCACAGCAACAGTTTGGAATTACTGTCTTATTTTTACAAATAAAAAACACAAAATGTCACGTGTGGAATGGATAGGAGAAGGAAAGTTTGACACTTTGAAACTAGCTATTGATTACAAAGACATTTATACATTGGAGTTTCAAAAAGGTGGGCTAAAATAAAATTAATTTTATAAAACTAGAATTTATTGCTTATCGACTTCATATTGAAGGAATAAAAATTATAAAAATCCCTCTCAAAGAAATTTCATCATACTAGATGCTATACAAGCATATCAATTTGCATCTCAAAATTAGTCAAAATTGAGCCTTGGGCTTATACATTACGCAAAAGTATTCTGCGTGCTTTTAGCGAAACTACGTTATTTCAATAAATGAAATACTTATTGATTAACAAAGCAACAACTGTAGCGCCATCTCTAGAACATGATGAGAAGGATAGATGTGAAGAATCATGAGCTCATTTTAAACAATGGAACAAACATATAAATAGAGTAAAAAGCGTTAACAAAGGTAGGCAACATATCTTAATAAGGTGTGCCCTTGTTTCTAAAATAAGAACAGTATGGAAAAAAGCTATTATATTTCTTATCGTGTAAGGAATTAAAGATATCCCTTCCGTGTGCCCTTGTGATGAAGTAAACAACTCCCACTGCTAGCAAATAGGTAGCCTCCGGTTCGATTCCCGGGGAGGATATCAGTGACGTTTCAAAATTCCTTCGCACATGAAACCTGATAACACTACAAGGCTGTTGGAAATTAATCTTAAAGCAAATCATTTACCTATTTGGTAAAGGAATTATTTTTATTGCTTTTACTTCCTCTTTACCCCTTCTAGTAGAATTAGGTATTCGCTGAATGCTGGTAGGTTAAGTATTAAAGTTTTTTTTTATAAAATTTTAGTTTCGGTGCAATGCAAGATAACATATTATTAAATAGATCTTATGTAAAAGTACAGTTGTCTTTCGTTTTTTGGCTTAAGTTCTTCGAATGGAAAAGAAGATTTCAAATCCAACATAAAGCTATTACTTCAGTTTATCAATAAAAAGAAATACTTTAACGGAGTTTATACCGACGCCAATTCTTAGCTTTACGTCGGAAGAAGTGAAGTCTTGAGAACTACCTCAGACATAGTTAAGATTGGAAGCGAATATTTCCCCTCAAATTACAAGCATGGAGTACAAATATAATCCCGTTTTAAATTATCGATACTATGTTAGGAGCTGCAAGCATAATCGATAAGCAACATACTTAAAGCTGAGCCATTTTTTCCGTCGGAAAAAAGTAACAAATCACACGCACACTTTTCTTGGGTTCTCTAAGGAAGATTTTCAAACGCTCGAGTGAATTTGAAGTTGTTTTTTTCACATCATCACCCAGTGTCTCGAAGCAAATCTGGCAAAAATTTTCTGCTGTCTCCGACATTTTTCACTCGTTTAATTTTTATTTTGACGACAAAAAATCTCCCACCGTCCGTCGCGCTAGCCATGGTGATTAGGCAGAGGCAGATACTTACTTAAATCCCAACTCGTAAAACATGTAGCTTTAGGCACACTAAGGTAACAGTTCAGATTTAAAACGTGGATTTGCAAAACTTAAAAGTAATTAAAGCACGGGAGGACGAAGTGGAAAAAATCCTGAGGGTGGAAAAAAGCTTTCTTAAATCCAGGAAATAAATAAAGTTAATTCGACTTGATATCGGCGAGCGAGCAAAATACTAGTGGCTCAGAAAATGTCAGTGTAATTACAGTTTAGGCCTAGGTAAACCGGGCGATAATTTATCTTGTAGATTACTGTAATTGAGCAAGCTTCGAATAAGCTTGGATGCGTTGCCACAGAAAGAGCTTTCTGAAATCAATAGATCATAATTCATTTAAAACGCGGGGATCACTAATTATAAACATATAAATCATTGGGAAAAGTGGAAAGCTAGAGTGTTCGCACTTAATCCACGTCAGTCCGGTACATTTCCTCTGCCACAGTATGAAAGACTCTTTTGTTTTTCTAGATCTAATATTTACTACGCAACCAGACTCAGTCTCATCACTGGCCCCGTGTGATAGAGAGCCATTTTGAAATATCTAAATATATAGTATTGGCCATGGAATGATTAAATCAATTTAAATGCATATTTATTTATTTGTTTATCAGTATGGACGACTTGGACTTAATTCACTGAGCTTCGAAATTTAAGAATCATTTAAAAA